TTTGGGGACGAGGGCCTGTATTCCTCATTGATTTAAAGATGGAGGCCAGTGATGTAGAGGAAGCCCTGGTTGTCTGTGTAGCCCAGGTCCCCGGTGTGTAACCAGCCTTCGTCGTCAATGATCTCCATGGTCCTATCTTCCATATCCAGATAGCCCATGAAGACGTGCCGGCCCCAGATGCAGATCTCCCCTATGCTGTCCTTGTTCTTCTGGTACAGCATGTTCTTACATCCATCCATGACTTTGCCACAGCTGCTGGGGGACGGGAGGGGGGAAATCAGGGCACAGAGAGACCGGGTCACCCACCCAGGTCAGCCCGGGTCTGCAGCCCAGGCTCCAAACGCTGCTCAGCTGACCCACGCGGGATCTGCTGTCTCACCCTCTCCGGGACCTGGTGGGCGTAGAGAGTTCCGAGGAGAAGAAATACAAGTGGATTTTAAATATATGCAAAGATTTTTTTTTTCAACCTCACTCATGACAAAAGGAGTGTAAATGAAAAGTTGTGTTGAGATACCTTTTTTTTTTTTTTTTTTAGCGCAATAATATGGTACGTCTACAAAGCGCTTGCTTCAGCGTCGTTTGTGGTGATGAAAGATGGAGAAAAAGCCATAAGAATCCCAGCAACAAAAGGCCCCGTTGAGTAAATGAGAGTACGTGCCCCCAGCGGGATACCACGCGACTGCTGAAGACGGGGCAGGTGTGTGCTCGGATAGGGGAACGTTCTCTACCGGGTAAGAATCTCTCACCTGCCAGATCCATTGGGTTGCTGAGCGTGGGTGGTGAGTCAAGACTGGGTGTTTGCATGACAAACCCAGACAGTGAAGGACACCGGGTTATCTGACTTCATTTGGTTCCCAAGCTCCAGAGAGCAACTAACAGTTGAGAGAAGACGAGTTTTGGGTTCATTGTCACGTGGAAAATGCTTTGGTTTGGGATAGAAGTAGATCCGTCCCGTCACTGCTTATGCAGAGGTTAACTCAAAGGAAATGCTGTGGTAGTTTTGCCCTCGGGAGGGCGTTACGGGCTGAATCGTGCCCGTCACTCCCCCTACAGGTGGCGGCACAAGCCCCCAGCCTCTCACGACGTGACCGTGTTTGGAAGTAGGGTCACTGCCAGTGTAATTAGTTACATTAAGACGAGGTCCTGCTGGAGTAGGGTGGCCCCCAGTCCAGCCGGCCTGGTGTCTTTCTAGAAAGGGGGGGTTTCTCCTTCAGACACGCATGTGGGGGGAACCATGTGAAGATGAAGGCGGGGATCCGGGTGATGCGTCTGTAAGCCCTGGAACGCCAGAGGTGGCCAGCGAGCCCCAAGCCCCACCCCAGACGCCAGGGGAGGGCCTGGGGCAGATTCTCCGTCACCCTCAGAATGAGCCAGCCTGTCCACACCTTGACCTTGGACGTCTGTTCTCTGGAGTTGTAAGAAAACGTCTCCCTTGCTTGAGTCTGTGGGACTTAGTTATGGTGGCCGTGGCAAACTCACGTCGCAGACTGGAGATTTGGGGTGGGCGGGAGGGAGCTTTTCACCGCGTCATTTTATGCCTTCTGAGTTTGGGGACGAGGGCCTGTATTCCTCATTGATTTAAAGATGGAGGCCGGGACTTACACCTTTCTTCTGGTCCCTTCTCTTTGGGGAAGGGCTGCCCTTTGGTTTTGGAGAAACTGCAGTGGGCATGTGGGTTACACCGAAAAGAGGCCTCAGATGGGACTTCGGAGTGGGGATGGGGACGTTGAGGTGCAGGGCTCCCCCACAGGGTAAAAGTAAAAGGCAGGGATGGTTTCGCCATATTAGGAGGATTGAGCTTACTTTCTGCCAAGTTCAGAGGCGGTTGGAACCTGGCCAAGCGTGAAAGGCAAGCTGGACTTGTGATACGACGGCAGCGAGGGGTCAGAGAGAGGTGGTGGGAGCTCCTGTGACTGTCAGACCCAAAGAGAACTCGTCTTTGGTGTTCCTTCTGTTTCAGTGTCCTTGGGTCTACTCCTGCAGCCTGGGACCAGCTGAGCTTGGGAGGAAGCCATGGGGGCCCATGGACGTGTTTGGGGGGGAGCATGGCAGAGATGAAGGGTCCTGAGGTCTCAGGAGGTGAACCTGAGGTGGGTGAGTGAGCCTGTGCGGGCCGTCTGCAGGCAGAACTCACAAATTACAGTGCGGGAGACCCCGGAACATTCTAAGAGTCCTTGTCTGTGGGCTCTCTGGCACCTGGGGGCTTCCTTGGTCATGAGGATGTAGGGCTTGGAAGCTGGAGAACAGGGGCCATTCTGGACACTCAGGCCAGGGTTCATCTTAGCTCAGTGGCTTGCCTACCCTCCCACCTTTCACCCCTGACCCCCATGTTGCTGGAGGGCTGGGGGTCTGCCCAGGAGGCCAGTACCTTTGAATCCTGTAGCTCTCCCGGCTGGATGCGGTGTGGGGCCCTGAGCTCTCACTCATACCGTACATCTCGCCTATGGGTATGTCCAGGCTTAGGAAGAACTCAGCGGTCTGTTGGTTGAGGGGTGCGGCTCCGCTGATAAAAGAGTGGCAGCGATCAAGGCCAAGGGCGCTCTTGACTTTGCTGAACACGAGGGCCTTCGACACGCGGTAGCTTATGGGAGTATCATGTGTCCTGTGACTAAGAATGCCAAGGACAAAAAAAAAAAGAATGCCAAGAACGGGTCAACAGTCATGGACAACCAAATGGGAGTGGGTGGGGAGCCCGCTGGAGAAGGCTGAGCCCCTTCACCCCCTGCCCTCTCCCGGCCTGGCCCCACTGGACCCCGCACCTACCCCAACATCCCTTTTGTATGGATCTTGAAGCCAATAACTCTTCCCCATGAAAACACCTTCTTCCTCAGGCTTGAGAATTTGGCGCCAGTTTCCTTTATTCTCTCCTGCATCTTCTCCCAGATTCGGGGCACCCCCAGGAAGGCAGTAGGCTTTACCTCCTGCAGAGTATTGATCAAGGTGCCCTGCAAGAGACCGAGCTGATCTAGCCGCACCTGCACCTTGCGTGGAACCCACATGTCCGTCTCTCCCCAGCCATCCAGCTCAGCCAAGGAGTACCTTCTCTTTGCTGATTGGCCCAGGGTGAGCTCCCCACCCAAGGGAGCCAACCCATTGGCTGGCCGGTAGCCAATCAGATTTCGCACGCTCTCCAGGGATTTGGTGGAGCCCACAGACTGGTAAAAACAAACCAACCAACCCACACCTGACCCAAGCTTGGAGTAGAATTTTGCACAACTGTTAATAAGGATGTAAGATTCTTTCCCGGTTAGATTTACGGGTTCGGTGCAACCCCTGTCAAAATCCAGGCAGGTTTTTCCACACAGATAGATAAGCCAGCCTTAAAATTTTACTTGGAAATGCAGAGGACCTAGAACGACCAAAGCAGTTTGGGAAGAGAAGAACAGAATTGGAAGAAATACTGTTTGACTTTGCGATGTATTCTAAAACAGGGCGATTGCCCTGGTTTGCTCAGAACTGAAGGAGTTCATGGAACGGGGGGCTTTCGGTCATAAAACGGGGGTGTCCCAGGCAAACCAGGGCAAGCTGGTCGTCCTGCCAGAAAGCGAGAAAACTCTGGTGGGTGCGATTCTGGCATAAGGACGGACGTCCAGTTCGACGGAGCAGAGTACGTTTATGAGCAGTGCAGTGGAAGAAAGGCTGTTCATATCCTAGAAAATAAAAGAGCCCAGCTTAGTGTCTTCTCATCAAACGCAAAAGTGAACTCAACACGGAGCACAGACCTGAGTGTAAGAGCTAAGATGCAGAGGCTTTGTGGGACACACGACGGAAACCTGTGTGGCCCCGGGGCAGACAGGGGTCTCTTGCATAGGGCACTACAGTCATGAAAGAAAAGAGAAACGACCTCATCGGAGTTAAAAATGAGAAGACACGATACTGGCCGGAGGTCCTTGTAAATCAGCATTTGGTTAGAACCCAACCGTAAGAAGATACACAACCAAATTTCAAATTTCTTTTTAAGTTGTGTTTACTTATTTTGAGAGAGAGAGCGAGCAGGAGCAGGGGAGGGGCAGAGAGGGAGAGAGAGAATCTCAAGCAGGGTCAGTTCTGTCACTGCGGAGCCTGACACGGGGCTCGAACCCATGAACCGTGAGATCGTGACCAGGCGCCCCAACCAAATTTTTTAATGAGCAAAAGCGGGGCGCCTGGGTGGCTCAGTCGGCGAAGCGTCCGACTCTCGGTTTTGGCTCAGATCACGATCTCACGGTTTGTGAGTTCAAGCCCCGTGTCGGGCTCTGCACTGACATTGTGGAGCCTGCTTGGAATTCTCTCTCTCTCTCTCTCTGTCTCTCTGTCTCTGTCTCTGTCTCTGTCTCTCTCTCTCTCTGTGTCCGCCCTCTCAAAAATGAATAAATAAAAAAAATTTTAATGAGCAAAAGATTCGCACGGTCTTGTTCTCCCAAAGAAGGTATGCAGCCGGTACCAAGCACATGAGGCGGCACTCCCCCCACCCCCCCCCCCCCCACACACACCGTTAGTCATCAGGGAAATGCACACGCCGCCTTCCTGCCACTGAGACAGCAGCGGTAGGGACAGCGGTACCGCGGCCGCTCTGGGGGGAGTATGAAATGAGGCGGCCACTTTGGAAACAGTCTGACAGTTTCGTAATATGTTAAGATACTTTATGACCCGTTGGGTTGGTTTGGAAACTGTTGGCAGTATTCGGAGTTGATGAGGATGCGGAGGGACGGGAACGTCTCGGATCTTGGAGCTGCGTGTGGGTACAACGAAGCAGTCAGCCAGAAAAGAAAGGGCTTGTCATCGAGTGGCTACAACATCTCAGACACGAGCACGGGGGATGTGGGAGAGGGGCCAAGGAGATACCGAAGCGGAAAACAAAATGATGAGAGGAGTGTGCCATGAGAGCAACAGGAGAACGAATCTTCTAGAAGGAGTCACAAAGGCCGGAGGACTTAGCCTGCTCGATGCCTCTGGGCAGAGTCATGGTCCCCTGAAAATGTCACACCCTAACCCCAGAACCTGTGAATATGTTCTCTTTCACAGCAAAAGGGACTTTGTAGACGTGGTAAAGAACCTTGAGCTAGATCTGGATTTTTGGAGCTTTTTGGTGCTGGGAATACTGACTTAAACACACACACACACACACACACAGACACATACATTTTGCTTTAAAAAAATTTTTTTTAAATGTTTGTTTATTTTTGAGAGAGAGACAGAAAGACAAAGCGTGAGCAGGGGAGGGGCAGAGAGAGGGGGAGACACAGAATCCCAAGCAGGCTCCAGGCTCTGAGCCATCAGCACAGAGCCCGACGCGGGACTCGAACTCATGAACTGTGAGATCATGACCTGAGCCAAAGTCAGACATTCCACCGACTGAGCCACCCTGGCCGCCCCCAATATGTTCTGCTTTTAATACCAGTCACATTGTTAGTTTGGGGTGGTTCAGTGTACCACCCACACAACCATATGGGGATGCCCTGACGTGGATAAAGACATAAACTAAAAGAATGTAGTCAACTATTTCCACTGCTCCTGTGTTGGAGCGTAAGATAGAGAAGGAACCCCTGGATCGGAGACTCAGCAAAACCACCCCCTAACCCCGGGCTGCCCTCAGCCTTACCTTGAGAGCGTCTGGCTGAGCAAAGTAGGTGGAGGCCCCGATCTTCATGGTGACCCAGATGTCCATCATCTGAGCCGCAATGTGGCTGAGGGGGAGGTAGCTGACCACCACCTCCTGCTTTTGTGCAGCAGTAGACAGGCCACAGTTCTTTGCTGCTGCTCCGGCCGTCCACGTGATCTGGAACACAAGTCGGGCTTACCACCCAGGGTGCCCCGCCCTTGCCAGGGGGCCGTTTCAGTGCAATTATTTAACGGACGCTGGCAAAGCACCGACTGGGTGCTCGGCAGTGCTGTCGTACTTTGTAAACAGCAAGTCGTAGCATGCTGGGGTCAGTAGCTATGATTCTGTACATTTGACAGGTGGGGAAATAGAAACACGGAGCAGTGAGGTAACCTGCCCGAGGCTAAGGGGAGCTGTGAAAATAGTGGGCAGCTTCGGGGCTTGAAGAGCCCCTTGGACCCAGCAACGGGCCCTAGAATTAGAACGTCTTCATGGAGAGTCAGAAATCCAAAGGACTCAGTACGTGTCCCAGGATCAAATCCTGACTCCACTACTTGCCCACTAGGAGGCCCTGGGCTCTTTGCGCATCTGTAAAATGGGCACAGGGGCTTCTCCTGTCCAGCAAACCAAACAGCCTCCCATAATCCCATCACACAAACACGCAGCAGTTAGCACATCCGTGGTTTTCTTTCTCCACCGCATGCCTCGATGTGAAGTCTTGGCAGATCTGTAACTTCGCAGTCTGCATTTCTCACTGGTATCGTAAATCCCTGGCAAGGAATTACCTCATTAATTTCAGCCACACGGGCCTCCACGCTGTTCCTCCGGCACACAAGGCAGGGTCGTGCCTCAGGGCCTTGGCACATGCTGTTCCATCTGCTCAGAATGCTCTTCCTCCAGCTTTCCCCCCAACTGAGTCTTTCTTGAATATTACGTTTCTGCTTAAATGTCACCAACTCAGAGAGGCCGTCCCATGCCCCCCAAACCGAAGTTCCCGTTGTCTGCCTGATTCCTTGGATGTCATCACCACAGCGTGCATGATTTTATCTGCTCATTCCCTGTCTTCCCGAGGGCCCTCATTGGTTCCGTGCAGACTTGATGCGTGTTTGTTGACGGAGGGAGGAGAGAGATGAGACATTTAAGTGTGGTGAAGTTTGCTAAGCACTGGCCCATCGCGAGCCCTCAGGATCAGGCCCACTTCTTCCCCTGGGCCTCAGGATGGAGGGAGTTTCCTTCTTTTCCACCAGCCCGTTGCTTCCAGCCTGTGCTCTGAGGCACCCAGCAACCATTCGTCCAGGGAGGGTGCTTGGCACGTGTAGACGATGAGGTCGGCCCCTGGTGTCGACCCTCCTGGGTTCAGATCCTGGCCCAGGGACGTTGAGCACGTCATTTTCCCTGTCTGAGCCTCGGTTTCTTATCTGTGAAAGGGGTTCACGACAGTTTCCCTGGCGGTAATGGGTTTAGTGAGGGGTTCACACATGCTTATGTTGGCACAGAGTACCCTGTAAGTAGGAGAAACCCAGACCTGTCGTGTCTACTGAGAACACAGGGCTAGCTTTGACTTCCTGCTTTAAAGACGATGATGTGGGGCGCCTGGGTGGCTCAGTCGGTTAAGCGTCCGACTTCAGCCAGGTCACGATCTCGCGGTCCGTGAGTTCGAGCCCCGCGTCAGGCTCTGGGCTGATGGCTCGGAGCCTGGAGCCTGTTTCCGATTTTGTGTCTCCCTCTCTCTCTGCCCCTCCCCCCTTCATGCTCTGTCTCTCTCTGTCCCAAAAATAAATAAACGTTGAAAAAAAAATTTAAAAAAATAAAAATAAAAAAAATAAAGACGATGATGTGGGGCACCTGGGTGGCTCAGTCGGTTGGGCGTCCGACTCGGGCTCAGGGCATGAGCTCACAGTCCGTGAGTTCGAGCCCCGCATCGTGCTCTGTGCTGACAGCTCAGAGCCTGGAGCCTGCTTTCAGAATCTGTGTCTCCTCCTCTCTCTGCCCCTTCCCTGGTCATGCTCTGTCTCCCTCTGTCTCCCCAAAATAAGTTGACATTAAAAACGACGGTGATGTGATTTAACAGCGAATGTTAGCACGGCTGGGTATGGCTCGCTGCGTGTCCGTGTTTGTGCCGTGGGTTTCCCTGCCGCGTGTCTGTTCGGAGCTGCGGTGTTTTCCTTTCCCGTCACGGGGGGGAACATTGGACATTGAACTTCAGACATTGAACCTCTGCGTCTGTCCCCGAGGTTGCTTCCTCTGGGGGAGCCAGCCACCACACGACGTTTCGTGACCTCAGGGCCACTGCGTGGCGGGGTACCCCAGGCCACGTGAGACAGGTGAGCGCGCCCTTCGTGGGCCAGGAGGCACCAGCTGACGCTTCCTGGGGCCAAAGAAACTCCCCACTGAGCCCCGCCTGAACTCCGGACCCGGAAGGAATCCACTGCTGGGGTTTTAAGGCAGCCCGAGTCACCCGACACAGCATCTGAAGTAATTTACTCCGTGAGGCATCTCTAAGAGACACAAGCCGTTCTGGTCTCCCTGTTACAGATGGGGAAACTGAGGCGCCGAGAAGATGAGGAACTTGTCCCAGGCCACACGACCAGCAAGTGGGAGTGCCGGGACTCAGACCCGGGTGGGCTCACTGGGGGACCTGTGCCAATCACCCTTATGGGAGGGGAACGTTTCCCCAGACACGACGGGCGAGACGAGAGGGAGAGACGCTGGCCAGGGTAGGGTGAGGGTCTACCTAGGTTCCTTGCATCCATTTATTCACGGATTCCATAGAGGCCCTGGGGTGCTTTATTTTTGTGGGTGTTTTCAACCTGGAAGCCCGGGAGGGCTTCGTGGAGGCGATAACGTGTGAGCAGGGACCTGAAGCAGGCGAAGCTACAAGCCGTGGGGCTCTCTGGCAACGAGAGCGAGCAGAGGGCACGGCCGGCGCAGGGCCTGGCGCATCTGCTGACTGTCCGTCTGGGCTGGGAGGCAACTTCGCGTAAACACTAGCGATCATGCTGATGGAGACCCACCATCGCCGGTCGGGGGCGCGTCCTGTGGACGCTTTTCTGCTTCTAAAAAGCACACGCGTGCACCTTGCTTGCTGACGTTGTTCAGTTTTTAACACAGGGCGCGGTTTGCCCCGTCTGCCGCTCTGCACCTGGCTTGGACGTGTTTACGTCGCGTCTCTGCTTAAGCCCCAACCTGCTTTCTGTCCCTGTGGATAAGTTGGCATTTCTTAGGGTTTTATATAAACGGAATCCCTTAGCATCTGTTCCCTTTTTTCCCCCTTTTTTTCTCCTGTAACGATGATCTAAATTGCTTTCGCTAAAAAGACATAAATTGCTTTCGCTTGTGGACTCTGTCCAGGCATATATCTTTTCCAAAGACGCAGCCTTTCCCGAGTAACCAAAACAGCGACTTCTGCTTTACTTCCGAAGCACAGAATGTGTGTTCTGCTCTCTCACATACGTGTCTTACTATCAAACACCGTCCGTCCTGAGCTCTCTCCAAACGGGAACTCATTTCATTTTCAAAACAGCCTGCCAGGCGGGGATTGTCGCACCACACCCATTTTACAGATGCGCAAACCGAGGCTTGGGGCCCTTGGGTTAAGTCCTGAACACGGGTCTGCTCTGAGGTCCTTGATTTCAGCCCTTGTGCTACACTGCTCTCTTTGGAAGTGTTCTCATGACTGTTCCATGCTTCAGTGGGTGGGAGGCGTCGTGTGCCGGGCCCCTAAATGCCACCCTGCCCCTGTGGGTCAGGAACGGAAAGAGCCTGAGGGCCCCTGGCCCAGGGTGCAGGGACTCCGGGTGCTACCGAGTTCATCACTGTTGGCAAAGACCACACTTACGTTGTCGTGGCTAAGCATCACTCCCTTGGGGATGCCTAAGGTCCCAGAAGTATAAATGATCACTGCACACTGATTGGGCCTCTGGCTTTCCATGATCTGGTCCAGCTGGGAATCGGGGATGCTGTGGCCAAGCTCCATGAAATCATTCCACTGTGGAAAGAAGAGACAAGCAGAGCATGAGGACCCCAGATGTGAGGGTGACCCACGACACGCCAGGGGTCGCCCTCCCCAGTCTGGTCGGGTACCAGCAGCCTCTCTAAAGCATGATTGCCAGCATGAGGGAAGGCTTAGGATCACCAGTCCTGGTGCCTCTTTAAAAAGCCCTAAAATGTTTGCTTCTCCTCCTCCACTTCCTGGCCCGGCTGCTGGGTCTGGGCATGTGACGGCCGCTGGTCCAATCGCACTGAAGGTCAGGGCTTTTGCTGGAAGTGCTGGGGCAGGAGTGAGTCATCTGGACACGAATGAGTCAAGATGTAGCCCCGGGAGCCGCCAAAGGTCACCCGGCAAGTAAACAGGAACCAGCCTTCTGAACCAAGGTGGCCAGACTCCAGAGCCTGTGCGCTTAACTGCCTTCAACTACGTTGCCTCAGAAGGCGCTGCTGGGTTGTGTGAACGGAGTGACCGCACAGGATCTGTAGCACTTCTACCCGGGAGCCCCAGCTCGGCTCTGGGTGAGGGCGGTGCCCTGGATTCCAGACGGAGGGCACGCAGCGTCCTCCAGAAGTGGAGCCAGGGTGATGCCGGCCCCACGGCAGCAGGTCATGTCTGAGGGTGTTTGTGGTTTCAGCGAGGACAGCGCTGCTGACATCTAGCAGGTGGAGGCCAGGGGCACCACCTGGCATCCGATACCTCACAGTTCGGCCGCACGACTAAGAATGATCCGCCCCAGATGTCCAGAGCAATGAGGTTGAGAAACCCCACTGTAGGTAGTGTTGCTAACAAGGGAGCTTTTTGTTTTTGTTTTTGTTTTTTAAGGTATCCAGACCTCAGATATTGTTGCTGTGGTGGCCACTCTTAACCTCTAAAATGTCTGTGATTCTGATCAGCTTTCTTCCTTAATCAGTCGCCATCCTGGTCTTGATATTTGAGTGTTTTCTGGAAGGCACAGAAGCTGCCGAGGGTTCTGGTTGGCAGAAAGGATCATGGGCGCCTTTTGTCCGCCTTGCACGGAGGGCAACCGGGAAAAACTCCGTGACGTGTTAGGACTTCTGATCCAAGTCATGAGTTTGAGAGTCTGATCACATGGGCGTTAACAGGAGCTTGTCCCGTGGCTTCTGTGAGATCACTCCGTGTACCGTCATGCACCTCACCCCTGCTTCGGCTAGCCTGACGTCACCATGCTTGGAGAGGCCGCAGAGAGAGAGGGAGGTATATAGGAGGAGGAGCCCGGGCTGCAGGACCAGAGTGAGGACTCGACACTTAGCCTCTAGGGCAAAGTTTAAGAAGATGCAAACAACAGAATAAAACAAAAGGGCAACAAACCTTTGGTAATCAACATAAGTAGTATTTTAATGCAATATTTTTAAAGTCACTGACAACGTAAAAAAAAAAAAAAATCCATGATGGGGGCACCTGGGTGGCTCAGTTGGTTAAGCGTCCGACTTTGGTTCAGGTCATGGTCTCATGGTTCGAGCCCCATGTCATAGGGAACCTGCTTCAGATCCTCTGTCCCCCCTCTCTCTCTGCTACTCCCCTGCCCTTATTCTCTCTCTCTCTCTCTCTCTGCCCCTCCCCTGTTCACGTGCTTTCTCTCTCAAAAATAAACCTTAAAAACACGTTTTTAAATCCATGATGAATGAAATATCAAAAATTTAAATAAAGGCAGGCTCCAAGACGGCTGCTGGTCCGCTCAGCCCCAGATGCATAGTAAATGGTGCTTAATGGTTTTAGCAAAATAACCAATTCTGATTTGGATATAAAATAAATATTTTTTTAAAATTTTTTTTAGCATTTATTTATTTTTGAGACAGAGAGAGATAGAGCATGAACAGGGGAGGGGCAGAGAGAAGGAGACACAGAATCTGAAACAGGCTCCAGGCTCTGAGCTGTCAGCATAGAGCCTGATCCAGGGCTCAAACCCACAGACCGTGAGATCATGACCTGAGCTGAAGTCGGCCGCTCAACCGACTGAGCCACCCAGGCGCCCCTAAAGTAAATATTTAAACTCAATGCTGTGAGTTTTCACACACCTAATTTCCCACAAGGCATTATTTTTTCAATGACCTTAACGCTCTGAAAAAGAATGAATGACAAAATGATCGTTGGTGTCTTAAGCCGTCAGTCTGGGGGGGAGATTTGTTTCACAGCAATAAATAACCAGAGCACACATCTTCCCTTGCGAGGTGCCCCCCCACTCCCACACTTACAGAGTACAGGTTTTCTCTGCTCTCCTTCATTGGCAGCTTGTACTGGATGATCGCTTTTAGGGTCTCCATCCTGCCCTGCGGAATCTGAAAGAAAGTTTCGCGTGGGCCTCTTGGCCCTGGGAGAGATTGAAGGCGGGTGCCCATCCCAAGCAATCTCCCACAGCCGCCCCAGCCTCCTTTCTTTGTCCTGCCCACCCTGTACAGCACTGCTGTTTGTCCCGACTGACAGGACACGCCCTGGTCTCTGGACTGCTGGGTTCCCTGTGGTCCGTATCTGTGGCATCCTGCACTTAAAGGCTGGCGAAGCCCACAGCCTCCTGGGTTCTGCCACACACACAGCTGTGGCTGTTGGTTGGTGACCTTGCCCCTTGTGCTGTGCAGCCAGGAGCCAGCTAACCTTCTAGCTGGAATTGGGCAACAGAAATTCTCTGTGAAGGTGACCGGGACCTGGACAACTTGAGGACTTTCTACCAACACCTAAGATGCCAAGGCTCGGTTGAGCACGCCTGCAGGATTCTTGTATCCTGTTGATGCAGAGGAAGGGGTATGGCTCTGTGCCATGACAGAAGTCACTTCCAGCACCCAGTGTGGTAATTACAATTATAACCAAGACCCCCGTGTGGATTGAGAGAAAAGAGGACAGAAGCGCTCATGACGGTCAGACAGGAGGTTTCTGGAGAGGGAGAGAACAGACCTCTAGAAAGCTTGGAGCAGGCAGTGGCCGGGGATGTTTGAGGACTGTGTAAAGTCTAAGATGGCTAGGACTCTAGCCCTCTAGAGTTGGAGGGCTGTAAGCCATGAGTATCACCCAGAATCAAAGATTTCCAAATGGAACTGAACATCCAGTTTGGGAGGAGCGTGTCAGAAGCCTGGCTTTGAATCTTGCATACAAAGGATCCGCAGTATTTTCTAATGGTGGAAAACCCAACTTGTAAGCCCCACTCTTCATCCACCCCACTGTTTGTTCTGCTATGAACAGAACAAACAGGGAGTGACATGAGTTTCAGGGACCACAGATGCATCACTTAAAACAATTTCAGGGTCGGCTGGGTGGCTCAGTCAGTTAAGCATCTGACTCACAGTCCGTGAGTTCGAGCCCCACATCAGGCTCTGTGCTGACAGCTCAGAGCCCGGAGCCTGCTTTGGGTTCTATGTCTCCCTCTGTCTCTGCCCCTCCCTGGCTCATGCTCTCTCTCTCTCCCTCTCTCTCTCTCTCTCTCTCTCAAGAATAAATCAACATTAAAAATTTTTTTAAAAGAAGAAAGAAAGCAATTTGAGAAAGCTCAAGGCTGGAGGGGGGAAGTCTGCTCTCCCTGAACCAGGTCAAGGATTAGGCATCCAAGGAGGCTTGGCTGCCGAGTGGTCTGTTTCACTGGGTCTAGCTGATTTCATGAGTCTGGAAAGTCTACCCTAATTTCAGAGATGTTAAAGTGTGGGCAGACATGCCAGCGGTGATTGGAGGATGCCATTGATGGCAAGATACATCTCAACTCCAGAGACCTTAAAAAGTAGAAAAGTGTGTAATCCAGAAATATGGTGTTGATGCAAGCAGCCAGGGGGCCCTTGGGCTGAGTGGTGAATCTGGTCACCTAGGCTCACCCTCCTGAGGATTCCCCTTCCCATAGGATCTTCCTGCCAAAAGATGGGTCAGGAAAGTGCAGCTCATTCAAATACTAGGAACTGAGAAACTTTCTACAACATCCATACGAAGATACTACAAGAAAAAAAAAAGGGGAATTGGAGAGGAGCCAAATTTTGGACACAGAGAAAAGTCACCACAAAGCAAAGGAAATTTGCCACCCAACATTCCAACATAAAATTTAAAACAAAGTAGACACAGCTGGGAAGGAAGAACACAAAGCAAACATACAAGCACCGAGGGAAGAGAGAGCCACACCAGAAGAAGGTGAAACAGGAAGAAATAGAAGAGAAAGACAAGCATTTTAGAAATTACGACAGTTACAAAAAATATAATTACCAGGGGTGTAAGTCTCAAAATAATTACATTTCTAAAAGAAAATAAACAGCAGACTGTACATAAACATATTCTGAAAATAGAAGCTTAGGAAGTAGAGTTAACATGAGTCAGAAATTAAATCTCCCTGGCTTCACCCTGCACCCCCTACTCACACCAAAGTAGCCTTAGTGAACCCGAGAATGGGGCCAGCCCCCTCACCCCACCTATCTCTTGCATCCACCTGGGAGCGACAAGACATGTAGTCAGAGCCCTGAGGTCCCCTTGGGTGACTGGCAGACGCTGTTTGGGTTAAGGTTTTACCGAAAGGATTTTCTGTAGCTGTAGGTCATTCTCAACCAGCAGGATGTTCACTTTGGCATGAGTAATGACGTATTGACAGGCGTCTGCAGAGTTGGTAGAATAAATACCAACACAAAGGCCCCTGGGAAAAGAAAACGTGTGTGTGTGTGTGTGTGTGTGTATGTGTGTGTGTGTGTGTGTGTGTGTGTGCATGCGCGCGCACACACACACACACACCCCCACACCTCCACACCTTAAAGTGAGAATGTCCTGGAAGGTGGGGGAGGGGAAGGGTCTATCGGCAAGTTCTGAGTTTGCAACCTTGGCACCAGCTTCCCTCCCTCCACAAGTTAACCAGGATGAGGACAGCAGAAATGAGGATTATGAAAACAACAGCTCCTATAATGTCATTGTGACGGCAGATCACGGAGCCCACACAGTGTCTCACTTTATAGATGAGCATTTTATAGGGCACTTTGTTCTAGCAATGGATGCTAGAAGTGGGATTTGGACCTATACTCAGCCACCTGTTCCCCTCCATTTTATTGCCTTTTGTTTTTGCTTTTGACAGTTCCGGTTTTTAAATGTGCGTTTCCCTGGGGCGCCTGGGGGGCTCAGTTGGATAAGCCTCCAGCTTCAGCTCAGGTCATGATCTCGAGATCTGTGAGTTCGAGCCCCGCGTCGGGCTCTGTGCCGACAGCTCGGAGCCCGGAGCCTGCTTCGGATTCTGTGTCTCCCTCTCTCTCTGCCCCTCCCCCCCGCTAGCACTCTGTCTCTTTCTATCTCTGTCTCAAAAACAAACGTTAAAAATTTATTACTCAGTCACAGAAGCGCCTTATGTATCTGAGATGCTGGTCACATTGGTTTGCTGTGTCTGTCTTGCCTGCTAACCTGGGGTTGCACCTGAATCCTCGGTCACATCTCCGTCAGAGGGAGCCCACGGCGGCTGGGCCCTGAGCAGTGGCCCACCCACATTCAGAGTCAACCAAGCCCGTAGTCTTACCCTGCTAAGATGGCACCAAGAGAAGCGATAAACCACTCAACGGAGTTAAACCCCAGGATGCCAACTCCATGGAAACGCTGCAGGCCCAGCTGGGAAGGCGAGAAAACAGACAGATAAGCAGAAAACAGAAACACAAAGACCTGTTGTTTCCAAGTGGGACCTGCTCCCTGGATGTGTGAAAGCAGGCTCCAGAGCCCATGTGGTCACCCTGGGAAAAGCCAGTGTTGAGCCTAAAATCTGGGGTGTGATACTCGTGTGACCCTTGAGAGGGTGGTTCGCCTCCCTCTACGCAAGGCCCCATTTATTTATTCTTATTTGTATATATTTTATTTTTTATTATGGTAAGCCATCTATAGCATGAATGTGCATCTTAACCAGGTTTTAGTGCACAGCTTACTGGCGTCAGGCACACTCACTGTCGTGTAGCCGCCCCCACCACCCGTCTCCAGAACTTTCCATCGCCCCAGACTGAGCCTCTGTCCCCCATGAAGCACAGACTCCCCGCCCCCTGCCCCACCCCGGTCTCCCACCATCTACTCTCTGTCTCTACGGATGGGACTCCTCTAGGGACCTCCTGTATGAGTGGGGTCATGCAGGACGTGTCCTGTGTCTGGCTTCTGTCACTGCGCACAGTGGCCTCTGGGCCCGTCCACGTGCTGGCAGGCGGCAGGACGTCCTTCCATCTTTAGGCCGAATAGTAATTTATTGTATAGACGGGCCACGCTGTGTCTCATCCATTCACCCACCAGTGGACACTTGATTGCCTCCACATTTTGGCGGCTGTGAACATCGTGTTCAAACACCTCCTTGAGTCCTTGCTTTGAATTCTTTTGGGAATTGTTCGGTGAAACGTAAGCCCATGTTTAATTTTTTTGAGGAACCACCCACCGTCTTCCGTAAGGGCTGCACCATTATACATTTCCACCAGCAATGCTTTCTCCGCGGCTTCCCTGACACCTGCTATTTTGTTTTTTTTTTTTAAATGACCACCTTAATAGGTGTGAATTTATTTTTATTTGTAATAACAAAAGTACTTAGAGTGATAGCCTGTAGTGGTGATAAATTGCACTTTTTAAAGCGTAGCCTTGGTCTGAGTGGGCTTGAGGATGAACTAGGAAACCTCTCCCTCCTGAGGGGAGGCCCAGGTTTTGTCACACCCCAGATTTTAGGCTCAGCACTGGCTTTTCCCAATGTGGCCCCATGGAGTTTGGGAAAACTAACTTCGTTGGCTCTTTTATCTATTTATTTTTAATGTGTGTTTATTTTTGAGACAGAGAGCGCAAGTCGGGGAGGGGCAGAGAGAGAGGGAGACATAGAATCTGAAGCAGGCTCCAGGCTCCGAGCTGTCAGCACAGAGCTCGTTGCAGGGCTCAAACCCACAAACCGTGAGATCATGACCCGAGTAGAAGTCAGATGCTCAACAGACTGAGCCCCCCAGGCGTCCCATCGTTGGCTGGTTTAGTTATATGCTGGCAAGGCTGGCAATGACCCACTGTTCTTGGGGAACCTGTAAGTGTTTGAAAGGCATCCGCTTGCTGATGCTTCCGAATGTGATGACAAGTCTTTCTGCTTAATGACAAATAGGCTGTCTTCTCTGTAGGTAGAGAGTCTCTGTTAACGTGCAGATAAACTGATTTATTACTGATCAGCTCCCTGAGGATTAAGAGAGAAGGGGTCTTTAAACCCCAGATCTAAGGGCATAGCTAAAGAGGATCATCTTTCAGGAGAGGTGAACTAATCACAGCACTGTGGTGAGGCAGCCAAGCAGAAAGTCAGTGCTAACAGATGGTTCTCAGTGGTGACCTCTCATAGGCTCTCTGCAAAAGCACATGGGTGTTAGGGGAGGGGAGAGGGGAACTCAGGTCTGGGTCCAAATGTGGTAGCAATTCCTGTAAATCAAAACCACCAGGCATTCCCTTTTACGTACGTAGGAGACACTTATCACATTCATGGTCAATTGGGGCATAACACATCACCACAAACTTAGCAGCTTAAAACAACACACATTTATTATCTCAGTTTCCATGGGTCAGGAATCTGGGCATAGCTTAACTGGGTCCACTGCTAAGGATCTCCTGAAGCTGCAGTTCAGGCATCAGGGGGGGGACTGTGGTCTCCTCTGAAGCTTGAGAATCTTCTTCCACACTTGTAGATTGTTGGCAATACTCATTCCCTTGGGGTTAAATGACTGAGGTCCTGTTTTTCACTAGCTGGCAGCTGGGGACTGCTCTCCTAGAGGTTGTCTGCCATACCCTGCCACATGGCCCTGTCCACAACATGGCAGTTTGCTTCCTCAAAGCCAGCAGAAGAATCTTTCTTTTAATGGTTTTCCTGCTTAGGTCAGGCCCACCCAGAGCATTTACCATTTTGATGAACTCCAAGTCAACCGATCAGAGAGCCCAATTCCATTTGCAAAATCTCTTCACCTTTGCCACCACAGGAGGGAAATCTCATCATAGTCACAAGCTCTGTGCATACTCAAGGGGGAAGAGTCTGTCTGTATATACCAGGGGTTGGGAATCTTGGGGGTAATTGTAGAATTCTGCCTAACATGCCCATCAAAGTAGCCAATATGAACATTTTGTATAATGTGATGTTGGCAAGAATAATAGGTAAGCAGATTCTGTCACACCCTATGAGTGGGCAGACAGAGGCACTGTTGCTATAAGAATTCATTGTATATCGGGGCGCCTGGGTGGCGCAGTCGGTTGAGCGTCCGACTTCAGCCAGGTCACGATCTCGCGGTCCGGGAGTTAGAGCCTCGCGTCGGGCTCTGGGCTGACGGCTCAGAGCCTGGAGCCTGTTTCCGATTCTGTGTCTCCCTCTCTCTCTGCCCCTCCCCCGTTCATGCTCTGTCTCTCTCTGTCCCAAAAATAAATAAAAACGTTGAAAAAAAATTAAAAAAAAAAAAAAAGAATTCATTGTATAAAGAAGCTTCTGTGTGGCTCCATATATGGCGGCAAAGCGTGGAAACACCGTAAATGCCCACCAGTAGGGGGCTGGTTATGCCAATGTTGTTACATACGTATCTACGTATTTTGTTGAAAGAGCATGGACTGTTTTGTTTTGTTTTGTTTTGTTTTGTTTTTGGTGGTAAATCAACGTAGTAGGATCTCAGAGGGTGGCAGCCAGCCTCCAAGATGGTCCTCTCCTGGGGTTTGTATTCTTGTGTAATCCCCTCCCACACTGTATCAATGCTTGTCTGTGTGACCAGTAGAATGTGGAAAGGATAGTAGGTCACTACTGAGATTAGGTAGTGGAAGACATCTTGGTTCCCATCTTGTTCATGTTTTTTTGGATCACTCATTCTGGAGGAAGCTAGCTGCTATAAGCTGAGAACACCCAAGCAAGCCCATGGAGAAGGCCCGGAAGCGAGGAACCACGGTCCCCTGCCAACAGCCAGCCATGTAAATGAACTTACAAGTGGGCCCTGAAGCCCCACTCGAGCCTTTAGATGACAGCTTGACGACTACAACTGTGAGAGACTCTAAAACTAAATTTGGGGGGCGCCTGGGTGGCGCAGTCGGTTAAGCGTCCGACTTCAGCCAGGTCACGATCTCGCGGTCCGTGAGTTCGAGCCCCGCGTCAGGCTCTGGGCTGATGGCTCAGAGCTTGGAGCCTGCTTCCGATTCTGTGTCTCTCTCTCTCTCTGCCCCTCCCCCGTTCATGCTCTGTCTCTCTCTGTCCCAAAAATAATAAAAAAAAAATAAAAAACGTTGAAAAAAAAAATTTAAAACTAAATTTGGGGGTAATTTGTTACGCAGCAGTAGCTAATACCTAGAGATAAAAAAAAAGATTCAGAATCGTGCCTACAGTCGGCTACTGTGCATGTAAAAATTTGCATATAGAGAAAATTTATAATACACACATATCATTTATTTCCCAGAAGAATTTATAGAAGCTGGCAGTGGTGGCTGCCTTCATAACGGATGGGTCAAGGGCCAAAGGGAAAAAATCTCACCCGTTAACCTTCACGTCTTATGGTACTTCGTGCATTTTATACCATATGTACTTGTGTGTAGAATGAATGACTGAATGATGAATGAATAAGCGAATGACTCATTTACCTTGATCAAGGCTCTCGCCGCCTTCCGACAGGCCTCGTAATACTGGTTGAAATTCAGAGTTTCCCACCGTTCACTGTTCTTCGTTGCGAGGGCCGGGTAGGCCCCAAATCGGCTGACTGACTCCCGAAAAAATGCAGGGATGGTCATTGGGGTCTCATGGCCTGCCCCATGTTTTGATAGCCTCAGCAGGACTTCTCCGTCTTGATGAATGGTCCACAGCCCAGGAGTAACTGCAAACAGTCACCAAGGTTGGGTGGCAAACGTTTTCATTAATTAAATAACTTTGGGGGAGGAGTGTCCTTTCTGACCTCAAGTACTGATTGTTGAATTAATCCCACTCCTCAGGTGAAGTCAAATGGCCAACACCAGTCCGCTCACTCTTTCTTATTTTTCCTTCCCCCTCTCAACACTTCATTACGAAAAATGTCACACATACAGGAAAGGTGACGGGACTGCATAGCCACCGCCCTCTTATTCGCCATGTGGATTCCACAGCCCCCAGCATTTACTGTATTTGCTTTATCATCACATCTCTGTGCAGCCACTTCTCTGTATCCACCCATCGCTCTGTCTTTTTTTTTTATGTTTGTTTATTTTTGAGAGAGAGAGAGAGAGACAGTGTGACCCAGGGAGGGGCAGAGAGAGAAGAGAGGGAGACACAGAATCGGAAGCAGGCTCCAGGCTCTGAGCCATCAGCACAGAGCCCAACACGGGGCTCAAACTCCTGAACCGCAAGATCATGACCTGAGCTGACGTCAGACGCCCAACCGACTGAGCACCCAGGTGTCCCTCACTCTGTCTTATTCATGACGCATTTCAAAGGAAGCTGCAGCCATCCATCCATTTCATTCTCAAAAATCTTTTTAACATGTGAATCGTTGTGTGTTACCCCCAGGAGGAAGTTTTAAGAGCCAGTGGGTGGCTTGCCATACGGCCATTCTCCTGCCACAAAAAAATGGGGATAGAAGATTCTAGAAACCCTCTCGGAGAACTGCGTGCGTGGCTCTCGACTTTATTCCACTGAAACTCATCTACTCGAGAGGTGGTAGCCGAAAATGGCAGCGTGGACAGCGGGGTTTGCGAGAAAACCTGCTGAGGGACATCGTCTTTCCCCTCGACTGACGTGGGCCCCGTGGATGGGCTCCTAAAGGCTTTTGGCTGGAAGCCAGTAGAAGGAGCCCAGAGATACGTGCTCAGAGGCAGATGCTGAGCAAAGAGCATGAGCTGTGTGTCAGTCAGCTGGGGCTGCCGTGACCAAGTGCCCCAGACGGAGTGGCTAACACAACAGACATCTGTTGTCTCAGTTCTGGAGATAAATACAAGATCAGGGTGTGGGCAGAGTTGGGTCCTTCTGAGGCCGTGATGGAGAATCCGTTCCATGCCTCTGCCCTAGTTTCTGGCGAGTTGCTGGCAATATTGGGAGTTCGTGGCTTACAGAAGCATCACCCCGGGTCTCTGCCCTCAGCGTTCGCCCTGTGCACGTCTGTGCCCAACTTGTCCCTTTCATATGGAAAACTGGTCATACTGGGTTAGGACCCATGCAAATGACCTCATGTTAACTAATCGCATCTGCAAAGACCCTGTTTCCAAATAAGTCACATTCTGTGCTGTTGTGTGTTAGGATTGCAACATTAGAATTTTGGGGTGTATCTTCGTTCTTTTGACCGCTATAGCAAAATACGATACACTGGGTATCGTTTAAACAACAGGCATTTATTTCTCATGGTTCTGGAAGCCAGGAAGTCAAAGATGAAGACACTAGGAGGGTCAGCGTCTGTTGAGAACCTGCTTTCTGGTTCACAGCGTCTTCTCGCTGTGTGCTCACCAGCCAGAGGGGCAAGGGCGCTCCCTGGGGCCCCTCTCATTAGGGCCCTGATGCGGTTAGTGTGGGCTTCACCCTCATTTCCTGATCCTCTCTCGAAGGCCCCTCCTCCTAATGCAATCACATTGGGGTTGAGTTTCAACATACAAGTTTTCTGTAGAGGGACACAAATATTCAGACCGTAACAGGGGGACACAGTTCAACCCATGACAGCCTACATCAAGGGCAGGCTAGTTCACAGAGGCTCCCCCTCACCAAACCGCCCACCCCCAAGGAGAAGTAGGAGGAGGAAGCATGACAGCTCACAGTGGGCAACAGGGGAGGACTTGGTCAAGGACATGAGGGGGCAGCACGGCAGGCCTCCCCACCCCCACTGCCCCCGGCATCCGGCCTGAAGCCTGGGGGAGGGGGGAAGCTTTAACTAGGACAGGATTGTGGAGGGGAGTCACCTGGATACTGGTTGGGGTTATTTCAATGACTGCATTGGGTTTAATGATGTTCCCTCCAGATTCATGTCAGAATACATCAGGTCAGAATATGACCTGATTTGGAAACGGGGCCTAGGCAGGTGCAACCAGTTGTAGGGTTGGCCCTAAATCCAGTGGCTGGTATCCTTAAGAGGAGAGGACACAGAGACACACAGAGAAGGCCACGTAATGACAGAGGCAGAGACTGCAGTAGGGAAGGCCAGGGACTGCCAACGGCCACCAGAAGCCCGAAGCCTGGAACAGATTCTCCAACACAGCCTCCAGCAAGAGCCAGCCCAGCCGACGCCTTGATCTCAGACTTCAGGCCTCTAGAACCGCGACAGAATGAGTTTCTGTTTCCAGCCACCTGGTCTGGGGTACTGTGGTACAGCAGCCCTTGGGAATGTGACACGGTGACCGGAACGAGATTTTGAAGATGATTATCATCTGAGAATGACTCTCAAAGTTGTCATTCTTGCCAACATGCTGTGCACTTGGAAGAGAGCAGCTGTGAAAGATAATGAAGGCCCCTTATCTCGTGATGCTCCCTGAGCCTTGTTCCAGCAGTGAAGTGGTTACTGCATAGTGATAAACATCGTTACCATATAGCTGCACTGTTTATATATTTATTATATAGAGAATACAAATGTGATATAATTAATACATAGTTACAGTATATCTGTACTATGTTATGTATATGTCCATACCACATAAATATCATTACATCTGCAATAGATAGATAGATAGTATGTGTGTATATATATATGTGTGTGTGTATATATATACACACACACATGCCATTACATCTGTACTGTATCATATCTGCTCTCTATACACATGGACTATATTATTACATCTGTACTATATATACACAATTGGATCTGTACTATTGTACTCTCTCTATATAGTTCTAGCCATGTGTATTGTTATATCTGTACTATATATAATTATACATAAGTATATAATATTATATAAATAATATAAATAAATATTTATACTTTTATTTATAAAAATAATATAAAGGAGCGCCTGGGTGGCTCCGTCGGTGGAGCATCCGACTTCGGCTCAGGTCATGATCTCATGGTCCGCGAGTTCGAGCCCCACATCGGGCTCTGTGCCGAGAGCTCACATGCCGGAGCCTGCTTCGGATTCTGTGTCCCCCTCTCTCTCCGCCCCACCCCTGCTTGTGCTCTGTCTCTCTCTGTCTTTCAAAAATGAATACACACAAAATTAATTAATATAAATATTTCTATTATTTATTCCCATGAATATAAATATTTATACTTTTTATTTATATAAATAATATATATACTTTTATTTATATAAATAATATATATAAATATGTAATAATATGTTTAAAAATATATATGCTCTACATATATGATTATATATAATTATATCTGCACTATATAATTACATAAGTGTGTTATACATATAAATAAATATATATAATTATATACATACATATATATATATGTAATTATGTCTGTACCACATATACATGGTTCTGGGGTACTTTACCCACATGGCTTGCTGTCCTAACAGAGGTATTATTATCAATGCCCTGTGGTACAAATGATACAAACGAGGCTTCAGAAAAGCAAACCACTCACCACTGTCACAGGACTGGCAGGGCTCTGCTCTGACTGACGTGGCCCCACTGTCAGCAGCCTGCCTGTGCTGCCTGCCCTCCCTATCAGGTGTAGGTAGCAGTATCCCACTCCTCCACCCCCTGTGTCAGGCGCCTCAGCCACGGTTAGGGGCCCGGGCAAGGATCAGCTGTGTCCTGACTCTCTGGGCCCCAGGCTCCTTTCTCAAAAGGCTCGGCCGAGTCTGTGTGCCTTTCTTTCCCACGAGCGTTCTCGCCAGCATACCTTTGGTTTCACTCATGTCCAATTCAGGGTCTACAGTTTCCTCTTCATGAGCCATTGGGAGTTTAGCCCTTCCAGGTCCAGAGAGGCCATTCTTCACAGCACTGCAAGGCACAAAGCAGGGGGCTTAGCAGGACTGGCAAAGGGGCTGCAGGTCTGAAGCCAACTTCCATCCACTGGTCATGTCTGCCTGGAATCCTGGGAATAGATTAGTCATACCTGTCCTGGGCGTAGGAGGGGAGGAGAGGGTCTATGTGCCAGATCCTAGAGCAGTAGTAAGCCCAGAGGGCATCAGTCTGTGAGTTTCCAGAAGAGTCTCTTAAATGCTTAGAATATAGGGACCAAGTCTATATGTGGTATGTGGGTAAGAAAACATTTTAACCTGCCCAAGGGAAAGAAACTTACAGGAGAGTTCTGTTCTGGTAGGTTGTCTTTTTTTTTTTTTTTTTTTTAGCATTCATTTTTGAAAGGCAGAGAGAGACAGAGCGCAAATGGGGGAGGGGCAGAGAGAGAGGGAGACACAGAATCGGAAGCAGGCTCCAGGCTCTAAGCTGTCAGCACAGAGCCCGACGCGGGGCTCGAACCCACGGACCGTCGTGAGATCATGACCTGAGCCGAAGTCGGACGCTTAACCGACTGAGCCACCCGGGTGCCCCTGTTCTGGTAGGTTGTCTTTTTTTTCAACGTTTTTTGTTTTGTTTTGTTTTGTTTTTAATTTTTGGGACAGAGAGAGACAGAGCATGAATGGGGGAGGGGCAGAGAGAGAGGGAGACACAGAATCGGAAGCAGGCTCCAGGCTCTGAGCCGTCAGCCCAGAGCCTGACGCGGGGCTCGAACTCCCAGACCGCGAGATCGTGACCTGGCTGAAGTCGGACGCTTAACTGGCTGTGCCACCCAGGCGCCCCAAGTTGTCTTAAAGATAGTACAACATGAAAGCCCAGAGGACGTAAAGGAGAAATGGTAAATCTTGCTACATAAGAAGTTTTTCATTTCCCACATGGCAAAAGATTGCCATAAACAAAAGATCAACAACAAGCTGAGAGAAAATATGAGTAACGTGTGACAGATGAAGGCCTGATCTCCTTTATATGCGAACAACTCAAGTGTACCAGTAAGAAAAAATCCAAACCCCAATGGAAGGTGGGCAAGGGGCATAAATAGGAAGTTCTCTAAAACAAATCTTACAGTGACTTTTTCAGTCATAAGAGAAATGCGATGGAAAATACTAGGATGGGATTCTCGCCTGTCTGATTGCGTAAGATCAAAAAGGATTGAAAAGTATATTAGCAAGGATGCGGGAAAACAGACACTCTCATATGTTGCAAGACGGACAGAGCCCCCTTGGAAGACATTGGTCAGTGGTCAGACTTCAGATCTCGTGGTCGCTAACCCATCCTTGGAGGATGGTGCACATTCTGGCTGTCAGGGTCCTTGCACACTCACTAACTGGACCGTCTTGTTCGAAGCCTTTCGTGTATGATGGGGTCAACCCCCACTCTTTAACCTTGTTTGATTTTCAGTAGGTTCATCCTTCAATTGATGAAGCAACATTCTTTTAAACATTTACTTAAGAGAAATCAATCATTATTTTCCTGGACTAAATTATGTTCCCCCAAATTCATATGTTGAAATCCTAACCCTTCAATGTGATTGTGATTGGAGATGGAACCTTCCCAGGGACGTAATTCAGGTTAGATGAAGTTCTAAGAGCGGAGCCCTGATCCAACAGGGTTAGTGTCCTTATAAAAGGAAAGGAAACTACTTCTTGCTCTGTCTTCACCATGTGAGGACACAGAGAAGAGACAGCTGCCTGCAAGCTCCGAAGAGGGTTGTCACCAGAAACCCGCCGTGATAACACCTTGATCTTGGACTTCCAGCCCCCAGAAATGAGAGAAAATAAATTTCTGCCAAGCCACCCATTCAGCGGTATTTTCTTCGGGCAGCCAAAGCAGACTAATAGAGTTGCAAAAATATTTAGAAGATGTGAAAATATTAAATGTTGTTTAATGAAATTTTGAATTTTAACGAATCAAAATATCCCAAACATTTGGACATTGGCCACACACGTTTCCTTAATCAGATTCCCCTAAGCATGTGGTTAAAACCACAAATCCGGTATGCCATTTTGTCCCAATCAAAGACGTCTGCAGACGTCATCAACTGTCCCCTTGGAGGCCAAAATTGCTGGCTGACATTGATTGAAAACGATGTGTTGGCAGTTTCCAAGAAAGAAAATTATATTATCTTGTCCATGACAGACATTATACTTCATGCAAGAATCAAGCCGTTCTACCTTCTAGATCTGCGGTTAATGTTCTGCAAGAACCAGGGACACGGCAGACGAGAACCTGACGATACGCGGTTGGCCAAATGTAGCCCTGTAGCCTGCACACAGTTCTACACTAGCAGGCACTGGTTTTGTATTTCAGTGAAAGCAGGTAGCTAAAAAGGCACATGACAACAAGAACTGAAGTGAGTCTCTGTGGCATTTACACACAATCCGTGGGACAAAGCAAACAGCCAAAGAATCTGGATGAAGCTGTGAACAACCACGTAAAGACAATTGTAAAATATGCCACAAAAGAGGAAACGAGGAGAGCCTTGGACCCAGGCCCGGACCAGGAAGGTGTGGCCCAGAATCTTAGGGTCACCCTTGATCCACCCTTGAGTTCCTGCTTTTGCCTCCATTGCTCTATCATCCCATTCAGTCCATCATTCCATCCACCCATCTTTCGTTCTTTCCGTCCATCTTTCCATCCACTCATCCATTCATCCATCTACCCATCACCTAACCATCTTACCTCCCTCCCTCCCCTGCTTTGTCTCTCCCATCTCTCTTTTCTCCCTTCTCCCTTCCTTGCTTCTGTCTCCTTCTCTCCTCCCTCCCGCCCTCTCCCCCTCCCCCCCACCGTGTCCGTCTCCGTCCCCACATCTGACCCATCAGCAAACTCCATCAGCTTAGTCTTGCAAATGGGTCCCCACATTCTGCACCTGCTGTCCCTTAATGCTAAAAACACTGTTCTCCCTAATCCTCATCTATCAATCTCTCCCCAAACTCAGCCTCTGCTTATGAGTCTTTTCTTCAGGGGAATATCCTCGGTTATCTCAGGCTGGGCTAGACCCTACACCCTCTAATTCCACCGTCTCTTTCCCTTTATTGCATAATCTAGGTTTGTCACTAGGTAGGGGTGTGTGTGTGTGTGTGTGTGTGTATCTTGTGGATCATTATATCCCTAACACGTAACACAGTGCCTGACACACGAAAGGGGTTGACTCAATATTAGGCAAATGAGTCTAGATCTAAATATACCGATTCAGTAGACCTGTGGTTCTTAACCAAGGGCCATTCTGGGCCCCTGGGGACACCTGGCAGTGTCTGGGGACATTTTGGGAGTCACAATTAGGGGATGCTACTGGCGTCTAGTGGGCAGAAGTAGAAGATGCTGCTCAATGCCCTGCCATGCCCAGGATAGCCCCTCACGACTAAGAATTCTCAGACCCCGAAGGTCAACAGGGCCAACATTGAGAAACCCTGGACAAGACAAGGCAGTCACAAGGTGCAGATGGCAAGCACAATTTGGGAGCCATACCCTGAGTCATTTCCTTGTGCTCCTGGGCTGAGAGGATCCTGGGAAAACCAGCAGCCCCGTTAAGACCAAGACTGCATTTAATACAGAACAACAACAGCAATCACGGAAAGTAACAGAAGGATCTCTCCTGTGCACCAAGTACTGTTCTGAAAGTTTTACACACATGACCTCATTTAATCTTCACAATAATCCTAGGAGGTAGTTACTATTATTTACTGTTATCCCCACTTTACAAATAGAACCCAGCAAGGTTAGTTTGCCTGTGGTCACAGCATAATTTTGTCTTCTTCATCTTGGGAGCACTCGTTCGTTCATGGGCAGCTGGTACATGGAGATGGGTAGGATTCTACAACCAAGCTAAGGTCAAATCCAGCCATGTGTTAAACGAATTTTGACCAGATGAAGAATGTCTACTTACTGAAACATCAGAAAACAGGAAGTCAAGACAAGTCACTGACTGGGGATAAGATATTTGCTTGGATCATATACCAAGAAATAATTCATACCCATAACGTGGCAAGAGCACCTCTGGATTAAAAAAAAAGTATAGGTAAACTTTCAGATATGTTTTTCATGTTATTTTATATGCAAGACGCTTCACAATTTTAAAAGGTCACACAGGATTTATTGTAACTGCAAAAGTTATTCAACATTAAACATCTGTCAACATGAGTTGCTGCATTTAAGGGACAGAGGGTGGAAAAACATGATCTCCTCAAGGTAGAATTTGATGAAATATCGACTTTTTATGAAAATCCTTAACAAATAAGACATGGAAAACATTTCCTTAACTAGCAGAAGCATGCAATAAATATTATACTTAATAACAGCAATGAAAGCACTGGAAGAATTTCTAAGAAGTAAGGAATAAGACAAAGATGTCAGCTGTCACTGCTGCTATTCAGCATTGATCTGAAGGTTCTTAGTCAATGCAATAGATAAGAAAAATAAATGAAGGGGATATAGATCGGGAACAGACAGCATTGTCATTTTGCACCTAATATGATTGACTGCTAGACTATCCAATAAACTGAACAGCTATTAGAAATAAAAATTTCTAGGGGTGCCTGGGTGGCTCAGTCGGTTAAGCGGCTGACTTCGGCTCAGGTCATGATCTCGCGGTCCGTGAGTTCGAGCCCCACGTCGGACTCTGTGCTGACAGCTCAGAGCCTGGAGCCTGTTTCGGATTCTGTGTCTCCCTCTCTCTGACCCTCCCCCGTTCATGCTCTGTCTCTCGCTTTCTCAAAAATAAATAAACGTTAAAAAATTAAAAAAAAAAAAAGAAAAATTTCTATAAGGTTATCAATATTCGAAGATCAATAGCTGTTTTTGTACACCAGCACAATCAGAAAATGCAACACAGGTAAGGATACTGAGAGTCTAGCTCAAGGTCAAAATGTGTGCCTCCTGCTGAATGACAACGAGACACTGAATCCCAAAGGACCCCCACATGCTCCTCTCCCATATCACTGTCACCTGCCACTTGTCATGAGTCCTGGCCATCACAACATGTCTTTGGTCGCTGAAACATCTGGGCAGTCAAAGTGTTTTCTTCTTCTGCAAAGATGATAAACAGGTTGCCCCTCCTGGAAATCTGGACATGGGCTGCCCCTTGCCAGCCCTCGTCACTGTCTGGGTCCAGCCAGAATGGTTGTGGTGACGAGAAGCAGGGAGGTGGTCCGTATTCCTCTCCAACAGCCTTCTACCTCATTCAACCTTCCAGAACCTTCCATCCCTGCCACCTCTTGTGACATCACTGTCTGTCCCTGCCTCCCCGCCCCACCCCCACTCCTGGAGGAGACCGCGGCTGGGGCACTCGTCTCACTCACTCATTGGCTCGTGCGTGCATATGTGCAGGTACCTCATTTCTGCAGTGGAATTTGTGGAATTGATACAAAGCTACAAAGCCACAGCACTTACACTGCGCATCGGGTTAGATGCTGGGGACACAAAGAGGACCAAAACCAGATGAAATCTGTTCAGGAAGACAGTTGGGAAACCTAGAATTGTGCAAATGAATGCAAACTTAACAACAATGCAGAGACCCACAGAGTGCCAAGTGGTTTTGATGAGGAACCTGACGTGGGGAGGTCAGGAGAGGCTCCCCAAATGGAGACAGAAAGGATCCCGCCACTTTCTATTACACTGCCCTACTTTATGGATCTTCAGTCAGCCTCCCTTTCTCTATGTCCGTTTCACCCATTGCTGCTTCCCTGGGAGGGCACAGAGTAGCTGCTCAATACATAAAGATTTATCAACCAAATATTCTGCCCTGCTGAGAAGAAGGGACAGGAGGCTTCCATTGTCTCCGGAGCCTTCTGGGTGGCTCAGGTCTGCAGCTGACCAGTGTTCACAGAGTACTGGGGCAGCTGTGGCTGGGAGAGCCAATGCCCACCGATATCCACTAGGCTGCTGCTTCTCCAGACCCCTCACCTAAAGGCTGTGTTCCCCAAGACCCTTGATGCATGTGGTCATCTGGCTAAATCTTGACCCGTGGTATGTGGACAGAAGTGATGGAGGCCACTTTGGGGTCATGCCTTTAACGGACGGGACATGGCATTCATGGATAGGCAAGTTCGCAGGGACAGAAAGTAGAACAGAGGTTGCAAGGGGCTGGGGACGGGGGGATGGGGAGTGACTGCTGATGGATAGAGTCTACCCTTGCAGTGATGGGAATGTCTTAGAGCTGGCGGTGGTGGCTGCATAACATTGTGAATGTACTAAATGCCACTGGGTTGTCCACTTTAAGCTGGTTAATGGCTCATCTCATGTGAACTTTTCCTCAATTAAAACTTTTTTAATGTTTATTTTTGAGAGAGAGAGAGCACAAGTTGGGGAGGAGCAGAGAGAGAGAGGGGGAGACACGGGATCCGAGGCAGGCTAGAACCCACACGGGGCTCAGACCCACCAACCGTGAGATCATGACCTGAGCCAGTCAGACACTTAACCGACTGAGCCACCCGGGTGCCCCCCTCAATTAAAATGTTTTTAATAAATAGGTTATTCTGACCCTGTGGCACGATTTATACTCAGAATGCACCCCATTAGAGCCACGAAAGGTCAGAGAGGCCAAGCCACTTGGCTGAGGTCACACAGGAAGCAAGTGACAGAGGGACGCCAGTCCTGCCCAGCCCCATAACTCTGCTCTGTCCCAGCTCTTCACAGAACATCTGGACTCTATGAGAGTCTTTGAGTTGTGGTCCCCAGACCTGAGCAGCGCTTCCTTAATACGGCCTAGTAGCCGCACTGTGGTAGAACTGTCCCCGACTTTACTGATGGGAAATCAGAGAGGCTAAGTAATTTGCCCAAGGGCACGCAGCCAGGGCGCTTGAGAATGCCAGTTCTAGACCCACATCACTTCTCTGAGCTTCGCTCCGTCCTGGCCGACATGGAAATTCTTCCTACGGGGCGTCTGGGCTCTCCTTCTGTCTGTGTCCTCCAGACAATTAGCAAGGACCTGACCCTGCACGTGCACAGCTCACAGCCCTCTAGTCCTGGCCCTGTCGGATCCTGTCTGTATTGAAAACGTTGGCGGTTTGTTCATCGTGGATTTGGGGCATTCGTGTTGTTTCTTTAACCTACTGCATTAAAGTGCTGTTCATCTTGGTGGCTGGTTGTTTGAGTGTTGCCTTGTTTTTGGTTTTGTTTTTGTTTTGGCTTCTCCTTAAGTTTTCTCCCCTCACCCCAGCCCTGCATCCTATTTATTAACCCAGTTCATGTCTGTGACTGGTTGTTCTGGGAGCTGAAGTGGACCTTAACCTCTCTTAATATGATGATGGTAGCAGACCGTACAGCCATTTCCAGCCCCAGAAAGGGTGGAAAAGCAAAATCCCCTTTCCCAGACTCCTCCACAGTGGCAAGTGCTGCGTGACCATCTTGACCAATAAAACACAAGGGCAAGTCAGTCTCTGCCAGCACATCTGCTTTAAAGGACAAGCAGGAGGGGCGCCTGGGTGGCTCAGTCGGTTAAGTGTCCGACCTCGGCTCAGGTCATGACTTCACGGTTCGTTCTTTTCTTCTGGAACGGAGATGTACTGTATGGAGCCATGGCAGCCATTTTGCAATCATGAAGCGACAGTTAAGGGGCACAAGAAAGAAGCCAGCAGCTTAAGACATTAAGGTCCTGGGACCTTGATGGCAACAGTGAGTAGCTGAATCAATGCCAGCATCCATTTACATGTCGATTTCCCATCTGGTGAGAAAAAAGTAACTCCAGTTTTTTAAAGGTTTTATTTTTAAATAATCCCAACGCCCAATGTGGGGTTTGAACTCATAACCCTGAGACCAAGAGTGGCGCAGGTGCCCCAAGCCCCTATTTTAAAACCTGCTTCGGTTAGATTTTCTTTTAGATGCAGGTCAAATGCTAACTGCTATAATCTTCAAATGAGAGTTCTGGGCTGACTAGAAGTTAGCAGTTTATGATGGGTGTAAGTTATCTAGCTAAGTAATTAGCCCCAGTTTCTCAAGACAAAAGTCTGACCCTCATTCGTGAGGCCCACATACTGTTGGTAGCAATGCATCAGTACAACTCTGTTGAAGAAAAACTTGACTGTGTTTGTCAAAAATTTAAAACATAGATCCTTTTTCCCCTGTCCCTGTATTGAGTCAATTTAGTATTACTTTTTTATATTTAAATTAATTCCTAGAGGCACCTGGGTGGCTCAGTCAGTTGAGCGACCGACTTCGGTTCAGGTCATGATCTCACAGTTCGTGAGTTCGAGCCCCGCGACAGGCTCCGTGCTGACAGCTCAGAGCCTGGAGCCTGCTTCGGATTCTGTGTCTCCTTCTCTCTCTGCCCCTCCCCCGCACACACACATTCTGTTTCTCTCTCTCTCTATGAAAATAAACAAGTATATATTTTTTTAAAAAAAAGGAAGTTGCTAAGAGAACGGATCTTAAAAGTTCTTATCCCAAGAAAAAAAATTCTAAGTACCTACAATGATGGTAACAGGATTTGTGATCACTTTGCAATATATGCAGATAGAATTGTGTTGTACATCTGAAACTAATGTTATACGTCAGTTATATCTCAATTAAAAAAAAAACAGGATAAAATAACAAGGCAAAACAGAAACAAAGCCCGCAGGTAGAGGGCCGGATTTGGCCCACCGCGTGGCGGTTTGGCGTTCCCTGCTGTAGACCAGCCTTGGTGATTTTCAGTTTTACTTTTTCCAGACAAAAGTCGTTGCGTTTTATCACAGCTCCCCCTGGTGGGAGCTTCCACATCTCTCTCTACCTTCCAGGCAGCCGAGACGGACTGTCCAGACGGGACTCCCCGCCGTGGTGGTTTTAATTTATACATTGTTTCCCTGTTGTTCCGGTATCAAAAAGATGAGAAAGGTTTATCCCGAAGTAACAGCCCCTTGTGCTGTGTCTGCTACTCAAATCCCTCCACTGGCAACCAACCCTTTTCAACACTGACTCTTTCCCCTGGTATTAACCTTACTTTCAGACATTGTCTTTTTTGACTTCCTCTTACGGCCTTGCTCTCTGACGATTTCCTACGCGGTTTAATATTTTTTCCATTATGTTTGCCTTAGGCCTACCGGTAGGTTTATTTTGTTTTGTCTTTTCGTTTTGCCGTGTGCTTGAACACACAGGACAAAGATTGGCAAACTGCAACCATTAGGCCAAGTCCGGCCTTCTGCCTGTTCTCATAAATCAAGTTTTATTGGCACATAGTCATGCCTGTTCGTGTATTTCTTGTCTCTGGCTACTTTTTGTGCTGTAACAACAAAGATGCGTAGTTGCGACAGAGATCATAGGACCCCCAAAGCCAAAAATGTTTGTTATCTGGCCCCGAGAGAAGAAATTTGCCAACCCCTGATATCGGGCAATACATCAGTTCTTTCTTTTCCCTCCTGGGAATCTTGGACTCTGAGCCCACTCTCCACTCAGTTCCATTCTTCCTGTCTGTTCTTATGTGGGATGAGGTCATGCTGGATTTGGGTGAGTCCTAAATTCAATGACTAGTGTCCTTATGGGAGAGACGCACAAGGAGCCGGAGGGGGGCTCCCAGTAGAGATATCTCCCGGCAAAGGCCCCAGTCCCCACATAATGTCACTTTTCATAATTTGTGAATGGCTTGTAAAATAATTCCTATCACCTGTCAACTATAATTTTACCTGTGGCACAACTTACAAAAGTTGTTTGTCATTTCTTTTTCTTTTTTTTTTTTTTTACTGTTTATTTATTTTGAGAGACAGCAAGAGAGGGGGAGAGGGGGAGGGGGAAGTGCAGAGAGAGAGAGAGAGAGAGAGAGAGAGAGAGAGAGAGAGAATCCCAAGCCCCAAGACGTGGGGCTCGATCCCGCAACCCTGGGATCATGACCTGAGCCTATATGATGAGTTGGACGCTTTAGCGACTGAGCCACCCAGGCACCCCTGTTTGTCATTTCTTATCGACTGTGTTTGCATACAAAGTTTCTTGCCAGTTGTGCGTATCAAGAATTGGAGGACAGGGCACCTGGGTGGCTCATTTGGTTGGGCATCAGACTCTTGATTTCAGTTCAGGTCATGATCTCATGGGTCATGAGTTCGAGATCTGCATCGGGCTCTGCACCGACAGTGTGGAGCCTGCTTTGGGATTCTCTTTCTCTCCTCTCTCTCTGCCCCTCCCCTGTTCTCTCTTTCTCTCTCTCTCAAATAAATAAATTAATTTAAGAAAAAAAGAGTTGGAGGAAATTGGGACCCATCCAAATGCCCATCAACAGGGGAGTAGATAGCTAAATCCTGGTGTATTCATACAATGCAATACT